TGATAGAGTTAATTTTTAGACAACTTTTTTGTGATCAACAACTGCTGCCCTCGCAATGGGGTAACTTCTGAAAGCTTTTCTAATTCCTACACTGAGGAGGAAGAGTCAGAGAGTCATGGACTGAGTGACACCTACAACCAACAATAAAGATGTCTGGCCCAATTAGATTGATCAAGGTTGATCATTGACTGATCATTTTTTTCCAGTGTCTGAGAAGACTACTTTCTGTCTGGGATTTGCATTAGCAATAAACCCAAAGCAGAACACTGTTTATAGAAGCATTTGTTCATTTATCTCAGATTTTTCATTCAGTAAAAACTCTTTAAAATTATTATTGCCGTTCTTCTGGGGGTCTTTATTTTATAGGTAAATTTTCCACATTATTTCAGGTTAATTTTCAACTTATGTAATTGCTTAGAACCAATAGCTGTTGACATCCAGAAGAGGTTTTTCGAAGCCCAACTTATAAAAAACTCTTAAAATCCGTGACAGGTTTAGAAGGACATCTTTACATTGTGGGTAAGAGAAAGAAAGAGGAAGTTTAAACTAATTTCCTTTTCAGTTTGAATGACAATTGAGAGGTTTTTAACAAAAAGCATGGACTATTTCAAAGCCCTCCAAAAACAAAGTCGTAATACTGGAAAAGTACTATGTTTTGATTCCAGAAGAATATTCCACATTCAAACACCTCTCCACTCTGAGTGGACAAATAGAGACTGCAGTCAGAGCAACATAAGAGTAAAGAAAGACCACAAGGAGTATCAAGAGCAAATGTGAAGCAACCCAGAGACGTCTCAGTATTATTAATATATCTACCAAGAGACTTTGCAGTGTTTTTATGTGATAGCTGCTGTTGATGCTTCTCGTAATATAACCAGCTCTGTTGTCTCCAGGCTATCTATAGAGAAAACGAAGTAAAACCTCTATCAACCTCTACAGCTGTCCAATCCAGTAGAACTACTGGGCAGTGTTTTATCAAAATGTCTTTGGTTAAACTTAAATCCTTCACCAAAACCACCCCAAGCATGTTCAAATAATTCATTCTTTCAGGATATTTGTTCAAAGGTTTCAGACCCTGTTCAGATTGTTTCAGGACAGAAATGGCAGTGAAAGGCTCCTAGGGGTCTGTGCTGTGTGGATTTTCATCCTCTCTTCAGTCAATATGATTTTTTTATGTATTCTGTTGTCAACAGGTTTTGTGATTGTGTTCAATCATCCCGGAGGATGTGCCAAATTATTTAGTTTCAGCCCTCCTTTACAAGGTAGCCAAAGGAAATAGATTATTATTTTACATAATAGCACAGATAGACTATAAATTAGCTGAATATTTCAGACAAGGAATGCCTGTTATTTATCTGTACAACCAAGCAAGAGATTCCCTATTTATGTTTGATAAAGGGTGTCTCATTCACCAAAGTTCTGCATTCAAAATTTGTTTTTATATTTCCATGAAGCTTTGCACCGGTGTATTTTTAAACTGGGACAGCCTGATATTCTTGCTGTTTATCATTCATGCTTTGGCAAAAAAACCCAGCTTTTTCTGTCTTCTATATTTGCACGTAGACATAAAGTTGCACTCTTCATCAGAAATGTATACGCTTTTACTCTCAATAATAGTAAAGATGACCAGCCCCATTCACAAATACAATCCTTGTTCACTACAGAAGATGAACATTCTTTCCCAGGATTCATTTGATTAACAAATAGAAATGCTTTAATATTAATAGCAGTGCTGTTAGACAACATTGAACTGTAAACTTAGTGCAGTATACTCCATCGGATTTCCATTAAAGCAACATGGCTGAACAACCACTGCAAGTAACTGGCAATTTGTTAAATGACTTAATTGGTCACCAGTTTATTGAATTCATTTAAAGGCTTGCTTTCTGGACCACTCCCAAAAATCACTGAGCCAGACACACACTGCAGTCAACAGTTAGTCTGTGTAAATATTTTTAGTCATCAGACATCACATTTTTCACCTTTCCAGTTCTTCACCTGAATTATTACATATTGCTACCAGTCTAATGGCCAAATATTGCTGTTTTTCACTCATATGCAGATCTGTTTGCTCATTAAATGCCAGGTGGCAGAGTCGGGGAAAAGCTAAAAGCTGGGGTAAAGGGCTCCTAACCTTTACACACCGTCTAAATGTCCCCACTTTCTCCTTGAACATCTATCCTTTATTGCGATCCCTGTCCTGTCCCAAAGTGGCCAGCTGGAAACGGTGCGTGCGCATTGACGTCCCTGCTAACCTTGGCCAGTGTAAGGATTACCGTGCATTTACTCTCGACGCATCTACTTTCCTTAAGACTTATTAAGAATGATAATGAGCTCAGAAAGGGGAAGCTTGTTTCTTTCTTAAGTCTGCAAAAGCTCTTCTTTCTGTTTCTCACTTGGCTCATTTCTCTCTGCGTTCCTCCTCTCCAGTCTCTCTCCTCTGTTCATCTCTTCCCTTAGCGTATTGAGAGGACTCAGGACAAATCACCAAAAGGGCCATTTTCATCTATGAACTGCAGGATTTAATCGATACTTATTTCATGCCTTCAAAATCAACCCTATATTACTGTTGTCTGTGTGATTTGTTTATTTTGCTTGGGAATATTCCTGGAGCCGAAGCGGGGAGAGAGTATTGGGAGGTGGTGGGGTGGGATTCGATGTAAGGGATGCAATTCACCTTGAACCTCCATTATATTGGATTTCTCTACTGGCTGATCAAGCATGCAAAAAGGACATTTCCTCAGCACTAAAATCAAAACAATAATGATGATTAAAAAAACATGTGCGCTATTTGTGCTGGTATAACCGTACGTGTTGGAGGCTGTATACTTTTGCCGCGATAACACTATGGGTTGAGGCGATGGGAATTTGTATACAAAATCATTACACTGACGGCAATTGATGAAGCTTATGTGCTGGGGAAACAAAAGTAATGGCTCCTGAAGCCTGTCAAATGCCACTAGGGATTACTGATGCTTATTTGACATCAAAGGCCGGAGGTCCACATCCAAGGTCAAACAGAAGAGGAATACACACGGGCTTAATTCTACACACCCCCTGACAGATGCAGATGGGTACTTATGAGACATGAGGCATTTAACTGACTGATCGGGCTGCGAGCAATAGAAATGTTGGATCGTACGTCGTTTAAACGGCGAGGTCCTAACCCAGTTTAGCTTCCCCCACAGGCAGCAACCGCAGTCTGTTTAAGAGACAGATTACCTTAAAGTCAAAAGGATCAAAACAGATCAGATCTTTTTCCAGTCAGTGAACGCACCATACCCAAATGCATGTAAGAATGTGGTATTAACAACACTCTTCAGAGTGGATGCTGAGACTGAAGGACGAAGGCTCAACGTTAGCCGTTTTGAGCCCAAGTGAGGCGTTTAGGAATGAGGTCAGAGGTAGACGTGTCAGAAAAAAAGGGAAGCAGATGAACAGTAACAGCTCTAACCTCACACTTGTGTTTTTTTTAAACCGTCCCCCATCCCCTCGTTTAAAATGGACTCTGATTTACAGTGTACAGTCACACACTTTTTACTTTTTACTATACTTGTGGTGTTCTTTTAAGCGATGCTTATCATTTGATATTCATTTACAGTAAAGGGAAGCAAGCATTTCATGGCATGATGTTGACCTGTGTTTAAATAGCATGTGTGACACTAAACTTCCTGTACAGATAACAGGAAGGACGAACATCTTACAGAAAAATTTATCTGATCTGTTTTATCCTTTCGAGCATTCAACTTCTGTCTATTGCAGAGGAGTTTGGATTTTTAATCAGCCTTTTTGGAAATCGCAACGTTAGATTAGTTTGAGACTGCTGTTTTATCAGTCCCAACAGCACCAAATGTGTTAGTCACTTAAAAAGGATGTTGAAACCAGGGTATAAAACATTAGTTCCTTAAACAATTTGGAAAGAAATTCATATTATTTTTGTTTTAAAATAAGTAATGCCTTTTACAGTAACCACTCCCTCATGCTCACAATGTGATTCTGCAGCTTCTCCTTATACAATTAGTAACAACTTGCAGCAGAAATATCAGAAAAAAAGTTTTGAATTTTGCCCTGATATCTTCCTATGTTGCAGTTCCTAAAGGGAAACCACAATGAGCTAAAATCCAAATCAGCAGGCGAAAACTAAGAAACAGCCAATGATTGGATTTCTGAACAGTGCATCTCCGGATCCAATTAAGACTCGTGAAACCTTAACAAGTTGATTGTAAGGGCTGTGACTGACTTATCTGTTGAAAGGGAGGCAGAGGGAGAAAGCGAATGAGGGGCAGCATGTTTGACAGATGGATACTGCAGCGTCTCATCACAGTCGCAGAGAGATGAGAACCTGTAGCATAAGGGCTGACAGTGAAGGTTGGCTGGTGTCCAGCTAGAGATGGACCTTCGCACAGCAGACACGTGCCGTCACAGCCGAGGGTTACACTGAGGGACGAGGAGCTGGAAACTCCTCGGACTTGGTCACTTTGCAGCTCTGTTTGTACAAAGCACATAAAAAGTACATCTACAATACCCCTTCCGAAGCACTGAGCAGCACTACTGTGTGCCCTGCAGGGGTCACCTGCTGTTGGGTATTATAGTTTGGTGACCTCAAAAAATAAAAGACATCACCAGAACAAACTTACCTTTAGACTGGCTAATGGTTTCTGTTCAAAAAAACACACAAAATGCAAGCTGATTTCATGTCTAAACATGTGTTTTTTTAAAGCGTGCCTGTGTAAAGTGCCAAGTGTGTGCTCGCTCTGCATGCATGAATACATCTGCAACAGTTAGGCTGAACAGCTGCTGCATCGCAAGGATACAATGGGAAAAAAAAGAAAAATACTTCAAAAGCGCACAGTGCACGCATAAATGCATCTTTTTTACATGAGAAAATGATCTGTTTTCAAGTGATTTGTAAAAAAAAAAAAAAAGCCTAATAATAATAAATCATGGCATGAAAGGGACATCAGAAGCTGAAAAGCGGGGGGGGAAAAACTTTTGTTTACCTTTAGTTGTAATAGCAGTGGCATTTTTAATATGAAAGATGGCTTTCCATCTTCCTCCCCTGATCTGCTTAAACCAAAGACAAGAGGGAAAGGGAAAAAGGGTAATTAATTACTTTTGTGAGCTATTGCACAGGAGAGACAATAAACCTGCCTGGTCGCCATGGATATGACATATTTGCTCTGAAAACAACACAATAATTAGCAAAGGAGAAGGATCCGGCGAGAATATGAGAAATCCGGGCTTAAAGTGCCAGTGATCTATTCTTGTACTCATTCGTATCCAGTGTTTATTATTATTATGAGTATGAATAATATAATAAACACAAGAAAGCATACAGAAGAAATTTATACATGCACAAGAGAACAAATGGTGACCTCTTTACAGAGGCATGTTAAATTAAATCTCAGATCATAAAGGTGTTTTGTACAGACCTAAACTAAGCGAACATGCAGAGAGCTCTGATAAGTTTTTTTTTTTTTCTTCAGTAGATGGAAGTCAGAAAAACTGTCTGTCACTGGCGGCTGGAGCTCTATGGGAAATAGTGACCAGCATCAGAAACGAATGAGGTTTACACAGCATTTTGTATGAAACATTTTAGCAATTATTCATTTATATCAATCAGTTATATTTTATTAAAAACTTTAGTGTCATTTGCACAAACTGTAAATTTAAAAAAAAACTGTTAAGACAACCATTTTTATCAGCTTAACTTCCGCTATTCGGGTTTTGAAAATTGATTGCATTTTTTTGGAAGTTCCTCCATTTACAGTAAATGACACTCTGCTAAGTCTTTACTACCTGTTTGGAGAAAACCAAAAGAGTTTCGACTAAAACTGTGACTTTCGGCGCACCAATAAAAGTCTCTCTTTTTTTCTTTTTTTTTTTCTCTATTTTCAGTTCTTGGAGAAGTACGCGGCCTAAGCAACAATACGCAGAACAACAAATAAGTGCCAGCATGTGTGTGTGTTTTATTTCTACTTGCATTAGATTTACATTTCACAGAGGAGGAGCGCCTCGACTTGAGCGTAAAAAGTTGGATGTTTTTGTTTTTAGCTTCGAAACGGGACAGTTCACCTCCAGTTTCCCTCGACTCTCTAAGAGCTCCGACTTCCCTCTTATTGTGAATTATTAAAGTTTATTCGTGTGGCTGTATTTCCAGCCGTGGCAGTGGGTTTCCTCAGGCTGGATGAGTCGCTCCAGACCGGCTGCTGCTGCGGTCGGCGCTGCCGCTCTAGCGAGACACGGACCGGATTTACCGACAGGTCCTACGACCATATAATGTTACACACTCCTTCGTATGTCTATATGTCCCTGTCACTGTTGGACACCGACACACTTTGATGTCATTTGCTGCCGAAGCGTGTGTTTTGGAAATGAAATGAGCGTGGAGAGTAGTTGAGAGGAAAAGGGAAACTCTCTTACCTGCGCTACTTCGCTGACTTCCAGTTAAAGGGACGTGTGTGGTTACGGTGTTCAGCTCTTGGCCGTTCATTAAAAAAGGAAAAAACTTCCCACATAATTTTCTGGGTTTTTTTTTTAGGGTTTTATTGTAGCATTTTCTAATTTCTTACGGGGCAAGTCGCCCGGAAGATCTGCCCTGGAGACCGGCTCCAAGTGGGAAGAGGAGTCCTTTAATTGAATTTGTCGGTCTTCAAAGTGTTGCTCAGAAAACCTGAACTGGAGTCTGAAGGTGTCCGTCAACTTGGCTTTGCAACTCAGGAAAGGCACTTTCTACTAAAACTTTATTTGATTCAGTCACTATTGATATTTATTTTTAGATCCTCTATCACAAAATCCTCGAGAAACACATGTTCAGATCAATAAATTACTTTTTTTCGTTTAATAAATTTAATTATTACTTTAAACTTAATGTGACAGAGGTAAGAATAAAATTGCACTAGGTATTATACTAGTCCAAAATACCCTCATCAGATTTAAGTTTTAAGTAATATTTCAATCTTTATTGTCTGTCGAGGATATAATTTTAACAAAATGAGCCAAATATAGGGTAATGGCAATGTGGGCTCCCAACATCAAAGACTTGGAGCTCATCACTGAAGATAAACTGTCAAAATACCAGAGGAGACATGCAAACATCTGGTCAGCAATTATTAGAAGAGTTTGATCTGAGTAATGTCAGCCAAGGTTTTCATACTGGTCTTGAGCGCACGTACTTGATAAATGACTTTTAAGAAATTTACAACATACATCCATCCATCCATTTTCTGAACACCCTTGTCCCTCAGTGGGGTTGGGAGGGGTGCTGGTGCCTATCTCCAGCTAACGTTCCGGGCGAGAGGCGGGGGTACAACATACAGCATATATTAAATTTAATTGAAAAAAAATCAATGAAAATATCTATCCATCGATTGTCATCCACTTAATAGGGGAGGCAGGTGGGGAGGCCCAGACTTCCCTCTACCCAGCCACTTGGGCGAGCTCTCCTCCAGGGGAATCTCAAGGCGTTCCCAGGCCAGCAGAGAAACGCAGTTCCTCCAGCATTTCCTGGGTCTTCCTCTGGGTCTCCTCCAGGTAGGACGTGCCTGGAACACCTCACCAGGGCAGCGTCCAGAGGGCATCCTAACAAGAAGCCTGAGCCACCTCAACAGGCTCCTCTCGATGTGGAGAAGCAGTGGCTCTACTCTGAGTCCCTTCTGGTGACTAAGTTTCTCACCATATCCCTAACGGAGGTCTTGCACCTCTATACTACACCTATCTATCTACCAATCTCCCGCTCCATTTCTCCCTAATTTGAGAATCTAAATAAACATAGTTCTTTCAAACTGAAATTTCTTTTATGCTGTTTTATAAACTTTTACTGTCTTGTTAAAAACAAACCTGCCACCTACTGTACATATTTCACACAGGAAGGGCATTGATGGTGGAATGGTTTCTAATTTCTTTTCCTATGTGAACAATCACTGGCTTCTGTGTCAGTAATGATGGTTCAAATGTGACAATGGGTCATATTTAAATAACGTACCGTCCTATGATGTTGGCGTTGTTTAATATGATCAAAGTGTGTTTTGATCTTGGCCAGTCGGGCCAGAACTATCCTCCAGTCAAGATCTGTTGGTAAATCCTGCTGTGTGCTGTCAGTTTTCAAGAGTTTGTTGTGATGTGATTCACACAAACTACAATTTTCTTTGACAATGTGGCTGGGACAATGCAATTAAAAGTAAAATAAACCCAAGTAGCTCCGCTCTCCTTGACTGGGACAATTCATGGATACATGTTTATTGCAGACAATAACAAAACACTTGTCTTTTTCCAGGAGCCATTATTGTACAGTGCATACAACCATAAAATCAGCTGACCAAATATGCTTGTTTTTTAATTATGAAATGAGCAGAGCTCCGCTTGGGTTCAGCTGGGGTTTCTAGGCACCAACAAAATATTTACTTATTTCCAAAAAGTGGCTGGAAGTTTTTTTTTTTTTTTGTGGGGGGGGGGTGTCCAAATAAAATACAACTTTGCATAATAGAAGCCCTTTAGCAATCCACAGCTTTTGAAACACACAATAAAAGAAGCAATGACAGAGTGAAACAAAATATAAATGCTGTAGAAGCTCTGTGATAATACCACAAAAGGCTAACCCTTAGCTGCTACCAATGGTAAAGTTAGCATCTACTTGCATCTGCTAAACTTCACAGACTATTTCAGTTTTAGTCTGGACTGTGTTTAACCATCACAA